ACCCAGCCTGCAGTCCCAAAGCACCAAGCAGCCAAAGAAAACACATGTCCTTCTCGCCGCGAACTTCTCGCACAAGGGCTGGTATCACACATGGTCACTGCGTCCACCCTCTTTCACCATGTTCCGCTACGGTGGTCAGCCACATGATGACGACTGCAAGGTCCGACGTTCCCTTGCAATCAATGCAAGGTAAATAGCTCACGGGAAGTGAGGCGCTGTACCCAACGCGGGCTCAAAGAGGCCTTCGCCCAGATGGACGACGACAATGACGAACACGGGCTACGGGCCACCATGCCAAACTCGGGGATACCCCCTGGATCATCCTAGAGGACCCTACAGGGCGCGAGGAAAGGGGAGGACTGTGAGGGGGGGGGGGGGAGGATTACCAGAGGAAAGTAGGAGGAGGAGAGCCCCTGGACGCCATCGGCTCCTGTGCCTCCACCAGCAGCTGCTTCTCCCTCTCGTGCACGGAGCGGACCCGCTGGATCTGGCGGGCGCTCGCGCGCGCGGGCCGCCCTCCCGCCCTGCCTCGACGCCGGCGGGCACGCGGGCACCGCCGTGGCGTGGCCCCCCTTGCCGCCCCGCAGCCTCCCGAGCACGCTTCGCGCCGCGCAGCCCTGACGGGTGCCCGGCGCCCGAGCGATCATCTGCTGAGACCCCCCCCGAACAGAGGAAAAACCCGAACCGCGGAAAAACCCGAACCGAGGAAAAACCCAAACCGAGGAAAGACCCAAACCGAGGAAAAACGCAAACCGAGGAAAAGCGCGAAATCTCCTCCAGGGTCGGGGGGGGGGAGTCATGCGGAGACCGAAAGCGAGGGCCCCAGGGCCCCAGGGACGCGGCCGCACAGGCCTCTGGCGGGGACGGGGGCCCCTCCCCCCTCGCCTCCCCTCCCCCTGGTCCCTGCCCCCTCCTTGTCCCCCTCCCCTCCCCCACTCCTCCCTCCCCCTTCTCCTCCCCCTCTCCCTGTCACCCCCCCTTCTGGTACGGCCCTACGGGCCACCCGAAGAAGCCCTGGGACATACCACGAGTCCCCAAGACGGTCGAGCGACGCTGCAGTCCCCAAACAGACCAAAGTGTTTTGGGAGCCCCTGGAAGGAGGCAGGAGCATGGAAAGCAACCCTGGCGCCCTAGCGGGATCCAAACCAAGATCTCTCTGGGCCCAAGGAAATAATGCTGTCACATGTTTCGCAACTCTGGGCCCAACGGACGATAGCTGTCATATGTTAGATGTTAGCCCGGTTCGGGCAAAGGAGATGGAGAGGGCTGTGGCATGCTAACGACATGTTCTAAGACCTGGGGAGGAGACATCTGTCACTTGTTGGCCCCAACTTTGGCCAATGGTCGGGTCACATGTTACCCCTCCTTCTGAACTGAGAAGGGGAAAGCTGTGGCATGTTCCCTCCTTCTACTAGGCTGAAGGGGAAATAAGGTATCACGCGCGATCCCTTTCTATGCCAAAAGCGGGAGAGCTGGAGCCGTGACGTGACACAATTCACATGTTAGCCTCTCCTGGGCCTTGGGGAGAGCACTGTCACATGTTAAACCCTTCTGGGCCGAGGGGGATGAAGCTGTCAGACGTTCAAACCTTTCTAGAACTAAAATGAGGCAGCTGACACGTGCTGCCCTTTCTAGGTTCAGAGTAATTAATATTACTATCACACTATACTCACGCAACCACTTACACCTATTGTGGACCGAAAGGGGGAGCGCTGTCACACATTAGCACTTCTGGGCCAATGGGAAGAGAGCTATCACGCATTACCCACTTCTCGACCAAGGGGGAGAGCGCTGTCACATGTTACCATACTCTGGGGCAAGACGAAGAAAACTACCATTTTCTGGGCCAATGGGACAGAGCTGTCACAAGTTGTCCCTCTCTGGGCCGATCAGTCGATAGGGCCAAGGCGATACAATACAATGAATTGTAATGCAAAGGAAGACACTTGCAACGCAATGCAGAGCAAAGCTGTTCAAATGCAACACAACGCAATGCAATGCAAAACAATGTAACTCATCCGGGAATCACGCTGTGGAACCCCAGGAACCGTTGCATGGCGTGAGATAGCATAGCAATACGTTGAGAAGGAACCAAACGACCTGGGGAAACACCGAATAATCCAACGAACTACCCGAGGAACTCGGGGAACTTGGCCTGGGAGGACGCCGAAGCCACCCGGCCTCTTGCACAGAAGAAGTTGGGCCCCCTTTTAGGCAAAGCCTAGATGGGGAGACGTCCCTAATACTTGTCCATGTGCTCGTCGTACCACAAGCGGCCCAAGATCCCCCCAAGACCAGACTAAGACCCCGAAACGGGCCAAGACCAGTCCATGATTCCCCACGACTCCCCAAACAGTCTCAAGACCACCTAAAGGACTACCAGAGGCCCCCAAGACAACCCAAGAGGCGTCGAAAAGGCTCCCAAGAGTCAACGCGACAACCATGCCACTATGCAACGCCACGCGGCCATACCATGGTACAGCGTTGCAACGCCTCTTCGCCATGCCATGGAGCAGCCCAAGCGGAAGCATCACGCGTCTCAATATGGTATCAGCCTCGGCACCAGCCCCGACGTCATGACCCCCGTCGGCATGTCGAGACACCCGTGCGAAGCTCTAGTCGGCGACCTGTTAGAATTCCATCAGCAGAGAGCAAGAATCACCAGACCCAAGGTGAAACTGCTACTCACGAAACGCAACCCCCACAGCAACCTCTCACGCATCAACTGGCCCTGTGACTGTCACTAACGATATGAAACTGAACGAGAGGAAAGGGGAAAGGAGTGGGAGGAGGAGGACCAGCAGCAGGAGGGCGAGGAGGAAATGGTTGGCGTGATTGCCAAACTTAGCTGCCTCGCGCACTGGCTGGTTAATACACACAGCAGCCCAGGGAGCGCACCATCCGAAACGCACCAGAGAGTAAGCCCATCACTCGAAATTAAGTAAGGGAATCAGACAAGGTGCAGAAATGATGGAATCAGGCAAGGTGCAGTCGAAGTCTGCCCACTCAGGAGTATTAGACAGGGGACAAAGCCTGTTTTGGGCCTCAGTTGCGCCTCGGAGCGCCCGAGGAATAACATAGGACCTGAGGACCCCCGAGCCCCTTGCTATACCAACATGCTGTGATCCGACGTGTCGATTGTATACAACATTGCTGGGGGCTCGAACTATAGATTCTGCTCGAGGGCGGAGGGTTCTGGCGGAAACGGCTCATGGACCCCGGGTGCTCTCCCAAAGGACAAGCTTCTCGTCCCCACTTGCGCTTTGCCGCCCTGGGCCCCGAAGAGCCGGAACATTGCGAAAAAGATACCAGGACCCCTTCATCAAGGAGAAGCGGAACAGTCAGGGGCTCATATGCAGCCCAGCTCTGCAAAGGAGTCAGCAAGATCTCAGTGCTCAGACCTGTGGTGAGAGCTCTCTACTCACCGAACTTCGCGCATCGCGCCCTGCAATGCGCGACGCGCGGATACCTTCGCGCCCTCGCGCCGCCGCCCTGGAAACAGACGCCTCTTCAACCCAAGCCGCGACGCGCGAAGCGCGATTATCTTCGCGCCTCCTCCTCCTCCTCCTCCTTCTTCTTCTGATTATTCGTCTTTTTCTTCATCATCATCAGCAGCATCATCAACATCATCATCATCATCATCACCACCACCACCACCATCATCATCATCATCATCATCATCATCATCATTATCATCATCATCATCATCATCATCAGCATCGTCATCATCATCACCACCACCACCCATCATCATCATCAGCATCATCATCATCAGCATCATCATCAGCAGCAGCAGCATCATCATCATCATCACCACCACCATCATCATCAGCAGCAGCAGCAACAGCATCATCATCATCATCATCATCATCATCATCATCATCATCATCATCATCATCATCATCATCATCATCATCATCATCATCATCATCATCAGCATCATCATAGCCTCCTCCAAGCCTCCGCCTCCTCGAAGCCTCCGCCTCCTCCAGGCCTCCGCCTCCTCCTCCACCCTACCCCCTCCTCCAAGCCTCCGCAGCGCCACACGAGACGGACGGCAAGCGCGCTCCTCCTCCTCCTCCTCCTCCTCCTCCTCCTCCTCCTCCTCCTCCGCCTCCGCCTCCTCCTCCTCCTCCTTCTCCTCCTCCGCCTCCGCTCCTTCCTCCTCCTCCGCTCCTCCTCCTCTTCCACCTCCTCCTCCTCCTCCTCCTCCTCCTCCTCCTCCTCCTCCTCCTCCTCCTCCTCCTCCTCCTCCTCCTCCTCCTCCTCCTCCCCCTCCGCCTCCTCCTCGGCACCGCATCCTCCCCATCAGCGCCTCCTCCTGTGGCCGCGGGGGCGGGGGCGGGCCTCCGCCTGCTCCTGGCCACTCTGCGACTCGGCCTCTCGGGCGGGGGGGGGGGCAGGCGGAGCGGGAAACGCGCGGGGGGGAGCAGCTCTGCTGCTGAGGCTCCTCTCATCGCTGCCGCTCGAGCTCACACGCTGCAGCACTCCCGTGGCAGGAACGCTCGAGGCTGCCTGTTCTTGTCCGCCCGCGCGCGCGCGCGGGCGGCGTTTGACGCTCCACGGGCGGGAGCCTGCCCAGCAGCACGCCTAAGAAACGCAGGGTCAGAAGCAGCGGCAGGATCAGGAGGTTCAGTGCCCACAAGGGGGGGGGGGGGTCAGGGGGGGGCGGAGAAGGAGAACGGCTGGGGGGTCGCCCACCAGAGGGACAGTTGTCGGACCCCTCCCTGGGAACTCCGTCCCTCTGGGGCGAGCTCCCGACAGGGCGGCCCCACCCCCCACCGCGACCACCCGAGCTCCAAAGCCTCGGGCACAGCGCAGGCCCTGGCTCTCCGAGCCATGGCCCCCGATGGATCAGGAGGAGCAGCAGCAGGAGCAAGAGCAGGAGGGCAGGAGAGGGGAACGGGGAGGGGAGGTCGGAGACGAGAAGGGAGGAACAGAAGGGGGAGGGGCACGAGATGGAGGGGCAGTCGGAGCAGGAGGGGGGAGGACGAGGAAGAGCAGCAGCAGCAGCAGCAACGCCAACCAGGTGAAAAACAGCTATTGATTACCGATTGCAGCAGACGGTGTGAGCGTGGTGATCAGTCTCCGGCGCAACTTCATATTGGCCGAGGGCTGGGCAGAGTGAGTTCTCCCCTTTTTTTCATATGCACACATTGCAACTGCACCACGTCGTGATTTGGGCATTTGTATCTCGAAATGCGCTGCCAACTATAGAGACGGTCTCGCGTCTCGTAACATTGTGGCTCCAGCGGTTTCGAGGGACATGGGTCGCGCAAGCATCGAACACGACCCCCGCTGGAATAGTAGCTGTTCTTCGAGCAGACTGCAACGACAGAGCCACCGATGCTATCAAAACCAGACCACCGCGCGCCCGAATTCCTTGATTGAAGGACTAAACACGGATGCTTCGTAGCCCGTCTGGGCCCACACAGGCTCATGTTGGGGTATGGGTCGAAGATTTGGGGCCTCGGAGACAAGCAGAGCACTGCCAAGCCCTGCATACTCTGCACCACTTGCGGCCTGGGCGAGCTGCTGTCTCGCCCAAGCCAGGCTTGACCCAGGGGGCGTCCAGGAGGTTGATCCTCGGCCACTGCCTGTCAGTGCACCTCGGCAGCTGACCTCGCAACCGATCGCGCCATGCTCGAACTTCCTCGGGACCGAATCGCTCTCGGCAGGGCGACGGGCCGGATGGGCTTGGCGCCCGAGGTTGGCAAGGCGATCGGCGCGCCTGTCGCGGAGCCTCGGACCATGGTCGCGCCGCGGGAGGCCGTCGCCCGTCTCCTGGCGCCGCATCCTCCACGCGTCCACAAGGCGACCGCGGCCCCTCCTGGCCCGCAACACAACACGAAAGCCGCATGATCTAGCTGTCGTGGGAAAGAGCGAGCGGCTTTGCCGGAGCCTTACGGGCTCGCAGCCAGCATGTACCTTTGTCGGACCTCATCGCGAGGCGGGGATTTATCCATATCCACCGCCTGGTGCCCCAGCGGGCGGTGGATATGAATATATTTCGGCCCCCAGGGGGCCCGAATGTGTCCACATCCACCGCCTGCCGAGGCTCCGAAAACTGACCCTCCACGCGGTGTTCATGCATAAATTCCCGCCTCGGATGTCGGACCTCCTAGCATGCGCAGCACGGCCGCAAACATTGTTGCGTCGGCGGCTAGGCAGAGGGTGACCGCACTGGCGATGAAAGGCACAAACGGGGGTTCCGTTGGAGCGAATTGCGCCACCATGCACGAAGAGGAGGGAGGCAGGACGCCGAGCGTGTGGCGCACGGCCACAAACATGCCGTGCTCACCTTCCTGAGGCGGGTCTGGGGCCAGGGGGCGCAGAGAAAGCCTCCTCCAAGGGACCCCGCGGGATCTAACGCCACACAACCGAGGCAGGCACTGGAAAGCTCGGAGGCGATGAGAAAGTAGGCTTGCTAGGACAACCCAGAGGCGACAGACTCGCAGGTCAGAGCACGAGAGCTCCCCAGCAGTGGAGAAGCACAGGACGGAAATGGTGTCATGGTAAGATTGGCTCAGAATACGTTTCAAGGTTTGCAGCGTATCTAGCGGCCCTCGTTCCGCTGAACGTCAGGGAAATCCTGGAAATCCTGGATATCTCAGAACGTATCATGATCATGACCTCTTGCTCCTCTGCCAGCATGTCGCGCGGAAGGCCCCCACCCCCTGGGCACCGCGAGGACCAGCAACTCCTGCCGCCAGCGCTCCCGGCGCGGGCCAGAAGCACACCCTGGCGCGACAAGACCAAGCGCGTCAGCCGCACGGCCCCCCGAGGATGCCGCGGAGCGAGGCGACGAACCCGCGCTGGCGGACCTCATCGAAAGGTGGAGATGCGCGGCACCGCCTCGAGCATCACATGGCGGCGCGCAGAAGGGGGTAGGGGGGGAAAAGGTTTCTCAGAAGAAGGCTGCTTCTTAGGAGGCGCCGGCCCTACACCTACAAACAAGGCCCGCACCCTCTAAGGGAGGAGGGGTGCTCCTGAGAAGCCTTCCCCACTCCTCCTACGCCCCTCTGCGCGTGACAGGATTACGCCAGGTGCAGCCACATCCCGGACGAAGCACACAGCACTCGAACATGTCGCGGACGGTTTCGAGGAGATCAGCGCGTCCGCGTCTGGCGGCCCCCGCGACGACCTCCCGCGCGGGGCCCCCATCGGCTGGACCGCTGCCAAGACCACCCTGCGCTGATGCCACCGCCGCGGTAACCGCTGCCGCCAAGCGCATGCTGGCTTCGCCACCACGGTGGCCTGGGCAGCGGCCGCAGCGATCGAGGTCGCCGCGCCAGGCGCCGCCGCGTCGGCCCAGCTGACACCCTCGAAGCTGCTGCACGCCTCCTCCTGCCTGCCCCTTCCAGGCGTGGCCAGCGCCGCGAGCCACGAGCTCGGTGCCGCCGAGCACGCCGCCTCTTCCGCACAGCCTGCGGGGCACCTTGCGCGAGCGTCGCAGGAGCATCGGGCGAGACAGCACCACCTCCAACGCCTCCGCCGTCAGCGTCGGCCTCGGGTGGCACCCGGAGGACCGCCACAGCGGCCCTGACCCGGAGGCTTGGAAATGGACACCAACACCAAGACAGGGAGGGTCCTCCACTGGGGGAATCAGATCCTAATGTTTGGTGCTGGTGGTTGTACATTGGACACCCTGGAAACCCGAATAGTACGCCGATCACCGAGGTCGAGAGCATCGTCCCTCAGTGGATGCACACTGCCGATATTGGCGTTGGTGCTACGGCAGGCGTCGCAAAGACAGCGTGCAACAACGATCTCCGAAAAGCACGCCGTCCCCCGAAAGAAGGCTTCCTCTGTGCACGCTGTCCCTGTGAGGCGATCCCCCTGCCAGGGATCCTCTTGTGCACGCTGTCCACCCGCCATGGGCTTCCTCTGTGCACGCTTTCTCTTACCAGCCTCGAACGTATCCCTATCCCTAAGATTGACACGCCAAAAGGCGATGACAATCTTAGGGATTCGCCCTCAAAAACTAAGGGAATCCCTAAGATTGGCATCGTGATGAGGAGGTGCCCAGCATAGGGATAGGGATATGTTCCGGGCTGGTAATTCTCCCCAAGATGGAGGGACAGCGTGCAGGAGGCGGGCCGGCGGCGCCACATCGCGCGCTGTCTCTGCGACGCCAGCCGTAACCCTCAGAGGCCTCCCAAGTGGGTCGGAGCAGATGGGGTCAAAGGATCGCGCCGCATCGGTGACGCCGGCGTGGAGAAAAACGGACTCCACACATCGAGCCGCGTCGCCGATGCATCGGCGACGCGGCGCGATCCTCCGACCCCATCTACGGTCGGACCTTGGACAGAAGAACATCCTTCAAGAGCCTGAGACCCTCCGCCAGCCCAAACTGAAGAACATCCAAGGGCGCCCTCCCCCAGGATTCACAAGAGCGTCCCACAAACACGAAGAACATGAGGGTACCCTCCACGAACCGATCTCGATCTTAGACCTTGGTCCGACCGTCAGGGCTTAACGACTTCTGCCGTCCCTCGACTCGCGCTGGCGCAGCCACGACTTGTTCCGACTTTCCTGTGAGATCTCTGGATTTACCTGGGTTTATCTGGATTGACCCGGCTGTACTTCTCGATCTATCTGCATTTACCTTCATTTGCCCAGGTTGATCCCCACACGTCGATCGGCGAAAAGTCGTCCAGCCCGAAGGGAAAGAGATTCGAATCAGAGCCAAAGAGTTCCCCAACATCAACAAGTGAGCGACGCACAACAAAAACTGGTCTCACGCGCAGTGGCACGGCGACCCTGCGCGAAGGCTCACGCGGGCCGCCAGCGCGGCAGGCCACGTCGGAAACGAGGGCGCCCACGCGGGACCTGACGCGGGCAATGTTCGCGGCAAATGTCGGCGACATCGAACCCGTTTTCTTCCGTCGCTCGAGTGAGCGCACGGTGACACCGCCGAAACATGGGTGCCATCGCCAGAAAGTCAAGCTCCACTCCGTGGCAGCAGGCGCAGGCTCCTGGCACATGACTGCGCGTAGACCCTGGAACCAGCTTCTGAGGCAGGGTGGCGCTCGGCTCACCTGGCACCCGCCTGGCAGCGTCGGGGAACGAATCCCCCGCCGTGTTGCCCAACCTATACGCACAAGCGATGGAGGAGCCAGCACCCACACTGCTGCAAATGCACAGGATACGTGTCGCCTCCAAAGGATGGCGCGCCGAGCCCCCTACCATGGGGCTGAGAAATCGAACTCCCAATCAGAGCCAAAGAGGCTGAGGCGACGGCCTCCTCCTCTTCCTCCTCTTCCTCCTCCTCCTCTTCCTCCTCCTCCTCCTCCTCCTCCTCCTCCTCCTTTTCCTCCTCCCCATCCTGAGGCGAAGGAGGAGGACGAGTGGAGGCGGGCGGGCAAGATAGGAAGCATACTTAGAAGGGGGGGGGGGCCGAAGTACAGAAGGGCAGGGGGGAACTGGGAGGAGAGAGGGGGAGGAGGGAGGAGAGTTGGACAGATGGGAGGAGCGAGAGGGGAAAAGCGAGGGGGGTGCAGGGAGGAGAAGGAAGGACGCGGCGGGAGAGGCTGCCTTATTCAGCTTGTGCAAGGCTTCGTTCAGCCTCGGCAGCGCCACACGAGACGGATGGCGGGCGCGTTCCTCCTCCTCCTCCTCCTCCTCCTCCTCCTCCTCCTCCTCCTCTTCCTCCTCCTCCTTCCTCCTCTCTCTCCTCTCCTCTCCTCCTCCTCCTCCTCCTCCTTATCGTCGTCCGCCTCCTCCTCCTCCTCCTCCTCCTCCTCCTCCTCCTCCTCCTCCTCTCCTCCTCCCCCTCCTCTGCCTCCTCCTCCTCCTCCTCCTCCTCCTCCCTCCTCCTCCTCCTCCTCCTCCTCCTCCTCCTCCTCCTCCTCCTCCTCCTCCTCCTGCTCCTCTTCCACGACCCCTCGTTGCCTCTCGCCTGTTGTCCTCTTCCGTCTCCTCCTCCTCCTGGCGTCAAGGGGCTCCGGAGGGCTCCAGATGGTCCCCAGATGGCCCAGGATTGATTGACTCAGATGAAGCCCCGAGGACGCTGTGCAATTGCACACCAGTTATCGGTGCCTCCCCATGGCCCCCCTGGGCTGGCAGTTATGATGAAGCCTTTTCTGGAATTCGCTGGGTGCCCCACGAGGGCCCCATAAAGCTTCAGAAAAACACGTTGAAGACCCGGAGTGGGCCCCAAATATTGTGTGCAAGTGCACACCATACTCGGGAGCCTCTTGGGGACTTTCTTGGATCCCCTTCGGGCCCCTTTCGGGTCCCACAAGGCTCCGCACACCCTGCGCGCGGCGTGGTCTGCGCAGCGCGCCCGCGCGTGCTCCCGTGGCGCTGCCGGCGGCTGCGGCGGCCCCGCCGGGGCTGGCGGGTGCTCCTTCTCTGGCGGCCCCTCCTCGCCTGGGCTCGCCCCCTGGCTGCGATGGGCGCCCGCGCGCCTGCGGCGCTGTTGCTGCTGCATCCTCGCCTTCGACACCTCCGCGCCCGGGCGGCGCTCTTCGCCCCGCAGCCGCTTCAGCCCCGCTGCGGACTTGCAGCGGGCCTTGCAAAACTGGCAGCGCCACGAGGAGCCCGCGCCCACGGGCGAGGTGGCCCCTGGACGGCGGCCGCCAGCGCCTCGGCGGGACCCCGCTCCTCGGCCCCCCGCCGCGGCCACCGCTGCGGCCGCCCCCGGGGCCGCCAGGGGCACGCGGAAGCTGGCGACGCGCTCCAGCACGCGCTTGACCCACTTGCTGCGCGCCCCAGCGCGCGCCGCGGCCCAGGCGGGCACGGGGCAGGCCGTTGCCCTCATCTTCGCGCACTTGTCGGCCTCGTCGTTGAGCACGTGTTTCGCCTGCTGCTCGGGGGGCATCGCCTCGCGCGGGCCTTGATCTTCACCGTCGCGAGGTTCTCGCCCCGCCCGAGCTGCCCGTCCCCAGGCAGGTCCCACAGGCGGAGCCACAGGTAAGCGGCCACTGAGCAGCCGCCGCAGCAGCGGGCACGCCCTGCCAGCAAGCCGTCGACCACCGCCTCGTTACCAATGATCACCTCCGCCAAAAAACCCGCGTGCTGGACCGCCACGATCAGCGCCCGCCCTGCACGCCCTGGGGGCGGGCAACGGGCCCTGCAGGCCCCGCGCTAGCTCGCCGCTGTCGTTGCACACCACGACCGCCCCGACCCCTCCCCCCCCCCCGCGCAGCCGCGGTCACCCGGGGTTAACCATCGAGCCGTCGGCGACGATGTCCCCGCTGAAGTGCGCGGGGCCGTCGGGCTTGACCCAGAGGAGCTCGGCCTCGGGCATCTGCAAATCCACCTCCGCCATGGGGCCCTTCACCAGGCCGCGCGACCACAGCCAGGAGTCTTGCGCCGCATCGCCCTGCGCGATGATGTCGCGCAAGCTCGCGTCAGACTCCAGACCGGCGAGCTTCTCGCGGATCTCCTCACACTCGGGAGCGCGGCAGTGCCAGTGCAGATGAACGTGGGCACCCTCCTCTGTGCCGCGCAAGGGGCACATGGCGCCGTCGGCCCTGCCCTCGGCGAACAGGGAGCGCTGCTGGGGAAAGCCGCCGAGAATGGCCACCTTCGCGGCGCCGAGGCGGTGAGCGGTCCAACTTCTTGCGCGCGGTTTGCCGCAGCGCTGCGACCCATGGGCGCGGCCGAAGCGCCTCCCGAAAGGGGGCGCCAGCCCAGGCATCCAGCTTGGCCTCGACGATCACCTCCTTGGCCTCGCAGATCACGTCATGCGGGGGGCGACCTCGCTCAGGTTGAACCGCTCGGTGCCGATCTCGAGCTGGCGGTGGTCGCTCATGTGCCATCCTCTGTCGTAGCACGTGACCAGGGTGGCTTCCGCTGGGCCTATCACCTCTGCCCACCGCTCTTTGGACGAGATGTTGGAGCGCATGGGACCCGATGATGCGACTGATGCGACCTTGCTTGGCCCACGCACTCAGCATGCTCTCGCCCATGTCGGGGTGGCCCCAACACGAGCGCGCCCGCGTCGTCAGCGGCGCCAGCCCACGCGCTCTGCCACCTGGTCTCCTTCAATCGCCGCATTGAGCGTCGCCGAGCGAAACGGCCCCGCCCCCGCCCTTGCTGCCCTGAGCTCGTCGTTCAGAAACTTCTGGACTTGGAGAGGCGCACTCTCGCACGCGGTCCCGTAGACGAGGGAGGGGGCCGCGCCCTGGCCCACGAAGCGCCCCACCTTCACCCCGCGCTTCCTGAGCCAAGCTGCCTTGCGTCACCTCGAGCGGGCGGCCGCTAGGCGCCGCTGGCGGCGGGCGCGCCGACGATGGGCTGGCTGTGGGTTGTAGTCGACGCCCAGCCACGCCTCCGTGCTGCCCTCGAAGATGCCCAGCCGCTTCATGGGCTCGCGCAGCACCTCCTTGGCCTCCGCGGTGCTCGTTACGAACATGCACTTGCCGCCAGGCCCCCTCGCGACGGGGAGCCCCATCACCTCCTCCACCGCGACCACCAGGAACTGAGCGCCCCATGAACTCCGTCCTGAGGTGCTTGGCGGAGTGGAGCATCATCAAGGCGATGTCGTCCACGTACTTCACAATGCGTAAGAGCACGAAGCCCTTGTGCACCAGGTCCAGGGCAGCTTGCACGATCAATTGGATCCCGCTGGCAGCCCTGTCTGTGTGTCTGTGTGTCTGTGTGTTTGTGTGTCTGTGTGTCTGTGTGTCTGTGTGTCTGTGTGTCTGTGTGTGCGTGTGTCTGTGCGTGGGTGTGCGTGCGTGGGTGTGCGTGTGTGTGTGTGTGCGCGCGTAAGTGCGTGTGTGCGTGTGCGTGTGTGCGTGAATGTGTGTGTGTGTGTGTTTGGGTGGTGTGCGCGTGGTGTGTGTGTGTGTGTGATGTGTGTGTGTGTGCGTGTGCGTGTGCGTGTGCGTGTGCGTGTGCGTGTCCGTGCGCGTGCGCGTGCGCGTGTACGTGTGTGTGTGTGTGCCTGTGCGTGTGCGGTTGCGAGTACGTGTGCGTGTGCGGTGGCGTGTGCGTGTGCGCGTGTGTGCGTGTGTGTGTGCGTGCGTGTTTGTGTGTGAGTGTGCTTGTGTGTATGTATGTGTGTGGATGTGCGTTTGTGTGTTTGTAGGTTCGTGTACCTGTATGTGTGTGTGTGTCTGCGTGTCTGTGTGTCTCTGCGTTTGTGTGCTTGTGTGTTTATGTGTGTGTTGCTGTGTGCGTGTGTCTGTGTGTGTTTGTGTGTGTTCGTGTGTTTGTGTAGTTGTGTAATTGTGTTGGCGTGTGCGTTTGTATGGTTGTGTGTACGTGTTTGTGTGTTTGTGTGCATGTGTGCCTGTGTGTTTGTGTGTTCGTGGTTGTGTTTGTGCGGTTGTGTGTACGTTTGTGTGGTTATGTGTTTGTGTGTTGGTGTGTGGTTGTGTGTTCGTGTGTTTGTGTGTGTGTTTGTGTTTGTGCTTGCGTGTTTGTGTATGTGTGTATGTGTGCCTGAGTGTTTGTGTGTTTGTGTGGTTGTGTGTGTATGTGTGTTTGTTGTATGTGCTTGTGTGTTTGTGTGTGTGGGTGTATTTGTGTTTGTGCGTGATTGTGTGTGGTTGTGTGTTTGTGTGTTGTTGTGTTTGCGTGTGTGTGTGTGTGTTTGTGTGTTTGTGCGTGTTTGTGCGTGTTTGTGTGTTTGTGTGCTTGTGTGTTTGTGCGTTTGTGTGTTTGTGCGTTTGTGTAAGTATGTGTGTGTGCGTAGTCGCACGCCGACTGTGGTGTCATGTCGGGGTCACCGTGGCATTGTGGGCATCTCCTCCTCGCCCGTCTTGCTCGAAATTCGCCGCTGTTGGCCCACTCTCCCACTCATCCGCATCTCTCGCCTCCCCCCTCATTTCCCCCTCTCTCCCCCTTTGCCCCAGATCCTCCTCTGGGGGTCCTTGAGGCTTGCTGTCAGCGCCAGCGAGGTGGCAGGTGACTGTGCGAGGCCCCTGACAGAAGCCATAAAGTGCGTTACACAGAATCCGCCGAAAACCCCCGAAACTGCTTAGCCTTGCTCTCCTGTGCACCCTCCCTGAGCACTTCATGACCACCTCCCTCAATCGTCCCTGGTCGCCAGTTGCCTCAGTCAGTGGGGTGAGGCGCCCTCGGTCCATTTTCATGCTCCCTCTCGGGAACTGGCAGCGGCCCTCGCACCGCGCGCCACGACGTGCAATTGCATGCCGCACGTAGGGTTATGCTGTGTCCCCCCATGGGGTCTTTCCGGGGCCTTCTTGACGTCCCCTCCTCCCCTGCCCGAGCTCGTCGCTGTTGCTCCGTGTCCCGTCACCATTCCTCTTTTTCCCTCCCCATCTCTTCCCCCGGCCCTCCCCCCAAATACCACGTCCCCCCACCTGGCGATGGTCGGCGCCAGCCTGCTGGCGCCGACCAGCCCAAGAGCCTCAGACGGTGGAGCCCAGACCGCTGGATCAGAGCTGGGGTGCCTCGCAGTCCCCTCCGGAGAATTTGGAGTCCCACCCCGAGGTATGGCCGAAACCTATCGCCGGGATCACTGGAGACGTACCCACTCATGGACAGGTTCCGTCATGGAAGCTGGCATGGACGAGGGGTCTGTGGAAACAGCTCCTCCCCACGGTGTCAGCAGATGGCCAATAGCGTTCTGCCCTGCCTCAGGCTTCGAAGATCTGGTAGCCGCCTCATCCTGAAAGATGGGTTTAGTTACCCATTACGCCTACAGCGAGCTTGGTAATCATCCTGCTCCTCCTCCTCCTCCTCTTCCTCCTCCTCCTCGTCCTCCTCCTCCTCCTCCTGCTCTTCCTCCTCCTCCCCTACGAGCCATTCGTCCATCTGTGTTCTACCCCGCGTCATGCTCTCCACTCCTGTCATCGTCCTGAATGATTATTTCCCCGCCGGTCCATATTCCACTTCTCCGCTCTCGACATAACTCTTCCTGTCGAGGTGCTGTAGCTGCAGTGGTCTGGCTGATGGGGCAACGTCGGGCCTACCCTCCAACGAAGTGCCACGCAACATCTAAGGCAAGGACGAGGAAGTATTCAGGACTCTTGGCCCTGCAAAGAAAACTCTAGGCGCATAGAACACTCATGATCCGTCACCGTCTGCGCGGTGCAAACTTGTGGGAATCAAAAGCTTTGCTCTCGATATGAATAAAAGCACTTACATCCCAAACTTGATCGGACAAGAACGGGAAGCGCCGCTGTAGTCTAATGGGCGTATTGGGCGAAGAAGAAAAGGAAGGCGAGGACAACGAGGTGTCGATGACGAGGACGACGTGGCGAACGTGAGGATAGCGAGGAGGAGCATGAGGACAACGAGGAGAAAGAAAAGCACACGGACGAGGACGAGAAGAACGAGGGCGAGTACGAGGAGGAATGCGGAGGGCGATGATGACGACGACGACGACGACGACGACGACGACGACAGAGGACAGAACGAGGCAATTGGAAAAAGACGTTGCTCCTGGCGCCGCGCGGGGTTCTCTTGGGGCCTGTTGGGGGCTTCTTGGAGGCCCCTTGGGTCCTCTTATGGGCTTCTGGGGTCTTCTTGGGCTGTCTGGGCGCGTCGTGGGGTTCTGTGGGAGTTTTCTTAGGCCGTCTCGGCGCTGGGGGCCTCCTGGGGCGCTCCCGTGAGTCTCTTGGGGCCTTCTTGGCCCTTCTCGGGCCGTCTTGGGGTTCTTGTGAGCTGTCTGGGTGGCTCCTGAAGCGCTCTTGGGGGTCTCTTGGGGTCTTCTTGGGGCGCTCTTGGGCGCTCCTGGGGCTCTCCGGGGCGTCTTTTGGGCCTCCCTTGGGCCGTTGGAAAGCCCTCCAAGAGCGATTCGAACACGACGTCGATGCGGAGTCCCCTCTTGGGCCGATTTTTGGAGGATGTCTTGAGCGAAACTGCCATTTTTCAGAAACCTTTCTGGACAAGAACGGGAAGCGCCGCTTCTCTGAGCTTGCGTGCGCACGCGCAGGGCTTTGCACACAACGTGGAATGTGTGGACATGGGGTTGGTCGTCGCTGGGCTTCCCTAAACGCCCAGATGGTTGCCATCAGTAGCTTGTGTTGAGTGGTTGCCTCTGGTGCTGCGCGTGGCCTGTATGCGTGTGTGCGTGCGTGTGCTTGTGTGTGCGTGTGCAGGTGCGTGTGCGGCTGTGTGCGTATGTGTACCTGCGTGAGAGCGTGTATGCAGTATGTGTTCTGGGGGGGGCGGGACGGGGGAGTGTGCGGTGTGCGTGCCGGGTGTGTGCTGGGCGGGCGGGCGGGCGGGGGAGTACGGTGGGCGTCAGTTTTAAACCGCATGGCCGTTTTAACGTGATGATGCTAACGAGGATGATGACAATGTGATGATGATGCCGACGATGATGATGATGATAGTGGTGATGACGAGGATGATGATGAAGACGATGAAGGGTACCTTGGACCGTCTTGCAGTGCTCTTGGAGATTCTGGGAGCCCTCTTGAGCCCCTCTTGGACCGTCTTGGTGATGATCATGATGATGATCATGATAATCGCGATGATGATGATGATGATGATGATGATGATGATGATGATGATGATGATGATGATGATGATGATGGATGATGGATGATGATGATGATGATGATGATGATGATGATGATGATGATGATGATGATGATGATGATGATGATGATGATGATGATGATGATAGGGTATCTTGGACCGTCTTGGAGCATTCTTGGACAGTCTTGGAGCCCTCTTGAGCTCTTCTCGGACCGACACGTTTCGCAAACTCCCTGGATATCACTGTTTTTCGAGGATGTCTCGAGCGAGAGCCCCATTTTGAACTGAAGACGTCTCGAAGCAGCTCGTCCACTATCACATTTTTTCGAGGATGTCTCGAGCGAGAGCCTCATGTTTAAGATTTTGACGGATTCGCGAGATCCGTGGAGATCTCACTTTTTCGAGGATGTCTCGAGCGGGAGCCTCACTTTTGACTTAAAACGTTTTAAAACAAGTCCTTCAAGATCCCACTTTTTAGAGGATGTCTCGAGCGAAACGGCCATAAAAGGGGGAATCCGCCATTCGATCCCCCCGCCCGATCCCGAGCCCGTGGTCCCTCGCGTCTCTGTTCTTTATTAACTCGTAGGAAGCATGGCCTAAGAAACTCCCACCACCTTCTCGTTCCGAGAAGGCGCTTCCCGTCATCCGCCAGCGCAGTTTCCAAGTGCGCCCCGTACCCCGTCACTAATTTCTACCACCAACAAACGGTCCACGCCAAGGGCGCTTCCCGTCATCCGCCGATCCCAGAGGCGTGCGAGGGAACGTGACCAACATTGACCAACACAATTTCTCGCCCCCACGGAACCTCTGTTCTTGGGACCTCCTCATTTTTCCTCATCCTCCCCCACCACCCCTTCACGCAACCCCACACGTACCCCAAAGTCTTTCAAAACCGTTCCGGGGAACAACTGGCCCGACAGCTTAGCCAAGCGCTGGCCCAGCTGTCGGCCACAGAGACGCTTACAAAGGGGCAAGGGGCGGCGGTGATTCAACGTGGGCGACTTTGATCCACAGCCACTGCTGCGGACCAAGCTCCTGACTCGGAGGAATTGATATGCGTGGCTGTCCTTGTCAAAAATCCAGCCGCCTACACATTTTTCCGGTTCACAACACGTGGCTCCCCAGGCAGCAACCGTAAGACCTGCCCAAGTTCTGAAGCACTTGCGCATCGCTGGAACATCCCAGCTGGTTTGCTAACATCTTTATAAATGTGTGCGACTGCACCCACGTGGCCGTTCATTTGAAGACACAAGCCAACGTCGGCATGCGATATCGCTCCGTCTCGGCCAGCTATAAGCTCTCTGCATAGTGGCTTCGACATATCGTCCTCCCAGCGCAAGGGCCCCGAGGTGCTGGCAATAATAGTTCTTAAGCATGTCAAATGATGAATCTGTCCGTCGCATGCTGCGCTTGATGGGATGGCCACCAGAACCAGCCGCGTTGCAGGCAGCAGTCTTGTGCCCTCTAGCTGGAGAGTCAGTTGCACGTTCGATGCCGAAAACGCTCCTGACGCATACATGGTTGAACAGTTTGGCAGCAATATGGGGCTGAGGATGCCTGGCACGATTGCACCGATTACTGATAGCCTGGGATACCAAGTCCATGGGGCATCATTCTGCAACTTCCTCTTTGCAAGCGAATATGCGATTGCTCCAGCAGTTGAAAGCGCCACCCCGACGGAGCCCAAAGTAGTCACAGGTTCATGCAAAATAACAATCGCAGACATGATAACAACCACACGCTTCATGGAGTTGAGGACACTGTGCGAGATTGGTTGCATCAGCGATAAGACCCAAAACGATGACACTTGATACACCAGAAAAAAACCGCAGGATTCTACAAGTATCCCACAAATCTCAGAACTGGATACTTTACTTAGAGCATCAGCCCATGCATCGAATAATGATTGCAAACGAAACACGGATAGCAACGTAACAAACGGCAGAGATATGGCGCTGCCAAGAACTGTCAAACGGAACAGTTGAGTTGTTTTTCTAACTGTTGGATCTTCACCCAAGTCCCCAATGCGGCCATACTTTGAAGCACGCACATTCCTCAAAGCGAAGCATACGTTCGAGGCCATGGCGCAGGCCAAGGTCGACATATCGAACCCCCATGAGTTCGCTGTCAAGCACACACCAAGAACACTTGGGACGAGTGTCAGATATGTAAAAGGATTCAAACAATCCCCCAACAACAGTGCTGAAAAAAGAGCGTTGACGACAGGCTCCACGGATTTGACCACGTGTGTAAGCGATACATGTCCAAATGTAAGAGCGGCCTGGGTTGTTATTTGGCCTGCTGCGCAGTGCTAGAATATCACCTCGGGACACGGACGGGGTTGGAAGAACGCCGCACCTCCAGAGACATACTGCAACCACTACTCCGAAAGCTAATTGGGCCCAAGCAATGATCACGGTCGCATGCAACGATTTCAACAGCATTTTGTTTACGATATTGTACCTCACATTTGATGCATACCATATGAAAACGTATACAGCTAATAGTGGCCAAGTTCGCTTGGCGTCCATTCTCACCGAGCTTCCCACGACAAATGTCGCGAGCCAGAATTAACCAGCCACACAAATGTTGGACGCATCAAGAAGCGGCTGAAATGCGTGCCGCCTTGAGAACAAACAGGCTTGAGCCAAAATGGCTACGGACATAACTCTTGCTGTCTCTTCTCTCTCCTTCCCAGCCTACATTGGCCGACTCGCAGCGCGGGACATACTTGCGAGATTGGAGACAAGCAGCGCATCGAAAGGAAGGCGGAAAAGATCATGAGGAAATTACGATCAGCCATCGGAGCGTACGCGGTTTGAGGCATGTCCTCTTTCAACCCCCTTCCCCTTCGGGTAGTGGGGCATCCCCCCCCTGACCACGCTGGAAGACTTCCCCCCCGTCTAGCGAAGCGTCCTGGGGGTCTCGGAGGCCCTTCGGAGGCCCTTCGGGGGCTTCCAGCGGCCTCCTGGGGCTCAAGGGCGCTGGAGGTTGCTGGCCTTGCAGAGATCGGAGGGGCCCGGGGCCCCGAGAGACCCCAAGGTGGCCCGACGGCCAAGAGGGCCCGTCCGAGGCGGGAGGGCGCACGCGAGGCTGAGCAGCGCCACGGGAGGAGGAGGAGGAGGAGGTGGAGGAGGAGGAGGAGGAGGGGGAGGAGGAAGAGGAGGATGACGAGGAGGAGAGAAGAGGAGGAGGAGGAAAGAGGTGAGGAGGAGGTAGTAGGAGGAGGAGGAGAGGAGGAGGAGGAGGGGAGGAGGGGGAGGAGGAAGAAGGAGGAGGAGGAGGAGGAGGAGGAGGACGAGGAGGAGGAGGAGGAGGAGCCCCTCCCCAACGGAGGAGGAAGGGCAACAATAAGGAACAAATAGATGGCGAGGGAAGAGACGGAGGAGGAGGAGGAGGAGGAGGGGGAGGAAGAGGAGGATGACGAGGAGGAGGAGGAAGAGGAGGAGGAGGAGGAGGAGAAAGAGAAAGTGGAAGGGACGCCTGCAGTCGCTCATCGCAGGGCCCCTGGCGTGGCTGCAGCCGACACGCCGCTCCTGAGGTGGGGGTTGCGGAGAAGAGGGCCCGAAGCGGAACAACAAGGCCCGAAGAAAGTCCCAAGATCCCCTGCCTGTCTGCCTGTCTCGGTCGCGGGAGGGCTGGGCTGATGTGTAAGCACGCAGGACATGGCGTTGCTTGCCGATCATGTGCAGTGAAGGCGCTCAGTAGGAGGAGGGCCCACAAAGGGCTCCAAAGCGTCAGCGTCGTCGTCGACGTCGCCGCCGCCGCCGTCGCCTTCGCCCCCATTCAGCGTCGACGGCACAGGCCGTAAGGCCTTCGGAATAAGTACACAGAGCATGATGTTACTTGCCCACCGCATGCGATGAAGGCGCTCAGACGGGGGAGGTGCCACCAGGCCGTTCGGAGCAACTACCACCACTTTGTTCAGATGCTCGTAAGTCCAAACGATGCCTTGCCGTGCGCCACAAGGAGTCCAACATGTCATTGCACGTTGGGCTCAACGCCAGGACGTCGACAGGATGTAGGAGAGGGTGACAGAGAAGCAGGAGGAAGAAGAGGAGGGAGGAGGAGCTGAGTACTCAAGGGCAACAATAAGAAACAAATAAATGATGAGGGAGGAGACGGAGGAGGAGGAGGAGGAGGAGGAGGAGGAGGAGGAGGACGAGAAGGATGAGGACCAGGAGGAGGAGGAGGACGACGAGGAGGAGGAGGAGGACGAGGAGGAGCAGGAGGAGGAGGAGGAGGGGGAGGAAAAGGGGGAGGAGGAGAACCAGTCTAAAGCCAAGAATCATCCATGATGTTGGAATGAACCATCCCTCCAAGCTCCCTCTTCATAGGCCTCTTACAAGGGTTCATTTCAACTGAGGGAGCTGCTTCGTTGGAAGGCAACCGTTTGAAGACCTTGAAGCGTGCCAAAACATTGTTCTCGGGACTGCAAAAAACTGTTATCTTGTGTTGTTCTCGCCGAGGCAAGCCCCGCGACTTCCTGTTCGGCGTGGATTTCTGTGTTCACGTATGAGGGGAAGAGGAGGGGTGCCATGATTTGGAGCTTTGGAGCTCAGGAGGAGGAGGAGGAGGACGAGGAGGAAGAGGAGGAGGAGGAGGAGGAGGAGGAGGGTGGGGGGGAGGAGGGTGGGGGAGGCAACGTCAGCGCGCAGGAGGAAGGGCACGGCGAGGGAGGAAAGGTACCAGCATCCCCCCGGTACGTACACTTACCTTTATCAAAATCCGAATCATCCTCACCCTCGTCCCTTTCAGTTCTCGGTTCGGCTTAGCGCCTTGCGAGGCCAGCCTGCTGTGAAAGATGAAAGTGTGGCGGCACGACGGCATCCACACTTGATCATGGTAGAATACGACTGGTAAACCCCATGCATGCTTCAAGGGCCAGTGCCCAAACCTCGAAACAAGATTCTTCTGCGACCTCATCTACACACACTCCTTGCCATCGCTGGGACGTCCATTCCCAGTGCATGTGCCAGTTTCGTGCGCATAGTTTTCGCTAAATGATCAAGGATGCTCCTCGATTGTCCTCGCCGTGGACAAAAAACACACACACACACACACACACATACGTCCGAACGATGCCAAGACCCATGTCACTGTGACCGCGCAAGGAACTGTGCCTGGCCAAGGCGCCTCAGCAGCCCGTGCAGCCGCTGAACAGGCCAGGCCTCGCCCCCC